AAAAAAAAAAACACAAAAATGAGCTGCGTAAACAGACTGGGAACGGCAACAACTACGGCTGTGGCCGGCGGCCACGGTAGGAAGCCATTCAGCTCCGGCAGCACCGTCGGCCCCCGCACGGACGCAGCGGATGTCCGGGAGCCGTCCGGGTTTCCCGGCGGCGAAGAGCAGCGGAAGCAGGCAGAGGAGTCTCTCCGCCGGGTCATGTACTTGAACTGCTGGGTTCAGGGTTAGGTAGCTGTAAATATCCTCCGCCGAGAGGGGTAGAAGTGTAACTTAAAACATGGTGGTCGGAATTCAACATGAGCTGAGCACAGGGCAAAGCTGGCTCGAGCTCGAGGGTTTTTTTTTTCTTCTTCTTCTTTTTTTTTTGCTTTTTTTTTTCGTGGGTGAAATTAATGGAGGACCGAAAAAAGGAGGTCAAATGGTGGACCCCTTTGAAAATTGCTTATTAATACTGGCATGCACATAACAAAACAAATCTTGCTTTTGATCATTTGCTTTTGACCAGTAACTGTCGTGTTACTCGTGTAACTTTTATCAATTTTACCCCCGTTTTGTAGGGGAAAAAAGATAGTAATATCAATCAAAATCTCAATATAGTAACAAATGCATCCAGTCACTCTGATGTATGAAACTGTACGAATTAGATATTAATGAGATATTAATGAGATTGCAATTTTAACAACATTCAAACACGATATCAATTTATCTTTTATTCATAATAAACTGATAGAAATAGAATAGAGGAGAAGTCTTTCAAATAAGATTTTTAAACCCTGACAAATTTATCTTTTATTCATAATAAACTGATAGAAATAGAATAGAGGAGAAGTCTTTCAAATAAGATATTTAAACCCTGACAAGACAAAATTTCTTACTAAATATTTACCAACAATAAAAATAACAAATATTATTTTATTAATTAAATACTAAACATAAAAGTAATAATAATAATAATAATAGTAAATAAAAATAAATATATATCATAAATCAATGATAGACGTTACAAGTGACTATTTTTTATCATTGAAAAACAATTTATTTGTATCATTCAAAATTCGAGTCTATTATTAATTTCTCCATGAGTTTTATCATTGAAATAATTTTTATCATATGGGCAGAGACTTTTTATGTAAAAAGAAAAATAATATTTAATTATTCTTTTAGTTGGTTTTGCTTGCGTCTCAAGTTTTTAATTAGGCCTATTTACTTGTCACACGTAATCACAATTAGATAAAAAATATTGTGATGCTATTGCTTGCCTCAATTAGATAGATTCGACCTTACACAAACAAACTTCATTGAAGTTGATAGAGCCATACTATCTTATAATGGTTTATGCCATCAACGGTTCAGAGATTACCAAGTCGACTTAGCTAACGTCGACTCTCTCCACAGACTTCCTATAAAATCTCCAGTTAAGGGTCCAGGCATCTCTCAGTCGACTTTCACGTGTCGACTAGAATATGTCGATTCCCCTCCGGAAAGACGGATAAGCGCGGCAGGGTCTACTGACGACGGAAAATGACCCCGTCGACTCGAGTTAGTATCCCGAGTTGACTGTGGGAGTCCCGGGGCTCATAAGATCCCCGACGGTCCGATACACTTCGACATATCATAGGAAAGTTGTCAAGGATAAGAAGAAATCTAAATGCTGACTAGGAGAGAGACGGAATGTGAACCGACCAAGGTATTTCAGACATTTTTAATAAGTCGGCCAGGGTATTTTGAGAACTTCAGGAAAAAGTCTTGCTTCTATATAAAGGAGCTGGGATAACTCCAAAATCCTAACTCCCATTCATAGGATACTCTCCTTCATTACTGCTGCTGCTCTCTCAGAGCAGCTCCCTTCATCTCTCTCTCACATACTGACTTGAGCGTCGGAGGCTCTATGCCGGAAATCCCTCCGGCGTTGAGTTCTTGCAGGTTTTCTTGCGGTCCAGTAGCGGTTTGAAGGTGACGACGACAGATCTAAACTCATTCTCATCGGTTCATCCTAGATCCAGGCCCGTTTTCACCGGTTCGCTCCAAATTTGAGAAAAGACCATCAGAAGTGTAGTTATATATCGAACTTGCAACACTCGCATTACCTACACGAGCATGCATGGGTTAATTCAATAATAAATTAATTGAACTGTTGTACGTACGATGAAATCATGGGTTGATTTTGATCAATAATAGTGCATGTTTCAGTAACTGATCAACTGTTTATGGTGAAATTGACCTCTAGCCAATTAATCACTTTTCAATTTTTACTTTACCGAATTTAACTGTCTCGGTCGGGACTAATTCTTTAGCCCAAACATTATTTGAACAAAACCCAATGATAATGATTAGGACTGAGCAAAAAAATTGAACTGAACCGCTGAATTGTAGATCTGAATCGAAATCGAACCGAATTTTCGGTTAACCAGGGTACTCGGTTCGGTTATAAACTCAAAGAGAGTTTTGCACGGTTCGGTTCGTTTCGGTTATGATTTTTAGGATTTTTTTTACCCCGGTTAACCGAACCGTATATTATATTAAAATTTATAAAATATATTATATATTATGTATTATATTCATATATATTAAACTAACCTAAATAGTAAATACCTAATCAACACTCAGTCACTTAGTAAATACCTAATCTAAATAATTAGGGCTAAGTTCGGTTTATTATTTGCAAACCAGTAAGCAAATTTGTGTTAGGTTTGCTTAGTTCGGTTCGATTCGGTTAATTCGCGAATAGTAAGATTTTTTCAGTTAACCAAAAATTCAGTTAACTGAAATTTTCGGTTCAATTTCAGTTAGCAAATTTGAATATTTGTTCGGTTCGATTTGGTTAGCAAATACTTCAAAAAACTCAAGTATTCAAACCGTGCCTAACCCTAATAATAATGATACTATATGGAAATGTTACGGTCTCATTATAAAATCATTCTTTTTACGTTTGTGACCCTTAAATCTCAATGTCATTGACGATAACGGGATAATTGCACCAAACCCCCCTGTGTTTTCATAAATGTGCGCGTTTTACCCCTATGTTTTCAAAACTGCACCATACCCCCTTAGGTTTTGATTCCGTTTGCGCGAATTCCCCCCGACCGTTTGAGTTAACGCGTGTGTATGAAACGCGCTGAATGAGCAAGTGTACTTATAGTTTTTGACCGTTATTGTGTCTAAAAGACATTTTTACCCTTAGTAAGCCTCTTTAAATAGCGCAAATCTCATTTGTTCTTCTTCCCCCTAAATTCGAGCACCTGGGAGCAAAAAAAAGAACAGAAATGTATGCAATTTTTTTTTTCCACTGCTTTTTTCCACAGTTTTTTTTTCACAGCTTTTTTTTTCAGCTTTGAAATTCAAAGCTTTCCAGCCTTCAATTCTTCCTGTATGTTTACTTTTTTTCCCAGATTCAAAGACAAGTAAAGATTGAAAGCTTGGATTTCAAATTTGTAAGTTGAAAATGTCCCAAAAATCGAAGATGGAGAAGATTGACAACTTGGACTTA